CCAACTTTGATGTAATGTCCTTAAAACAAGTCAAAATGAGGCTCAGTAGTGTGTGTGGCCTCCACGTGCCTGTATGACCTCCCTACAACGCCTGGGCATGCTCCTGATGAGGTGGCGGATGGTCTCCTGAGGATCTCCTCCCAGACCTGGACTAAAGCATCTGCCAACTCCTGGACAGTCTGTGGTGCAACGTGGCGTTGGTGGATGGAGCGAGACATGATGTCCCAGATGTGCTCAATTGGATTCAGGTCTGGGGAACGAGCGGTCCATAGCATCAATGCCTTCCTCTTGCATGAACTGCTGACACACTCCAGCCACATGAGGTCTAGCATTGTCTTGCATTAGGAGGAACCCAGGGCCAACCGCACCAGCATATGGTCTCACAAGGGGTCTGAGGATCTCATCTCGGTACCTAATGGCAGTCAGGCTACCTCTGGCGAGCACATGGAGGGCTGTGCGGCCCCCCAAAGAAATGCCACCCCACACCATGACTGACCCACCGCCAAACCGGTCATGCTGGAGGATGTTGCAGGCAGCAGAACGTTCTCCACGGTGTCTCCAGACTCTGTCACGTCTGTCACATGTGCTCAGTGTGAACCTGCTTTCATCTGTGAAGAGCACAGGGCGCCAGTGGCGAATTTGCCAATCTTGGTGTTCTCTGGCAAATGCCAAACGTCCTGCATGGTGTTGGGCTGTAAGCACAACCCCCACCTGTGGACGTCGGGCCCTCATACCACCCTCATGGAGTCTGTTTCTGACCGTTTGAGCAGACACATGCACATTTGTGGCCTGCTGGAGGTCATTTTGCAGGGCTCTGGCAGTGCTCCTCCTGCTCCTCCTTGCACAAAGGCGGAGGTAGCAGTCCTGCTGCTGGGTTGTTGCCCTCCTACGGCCTCCTCCACGTCTCCTGATGTACTGGCCTGTCTCCTCGTAGTGCCTCCATGCTCTGGACACTACGCTGATAGACACAGCAAACCTTCTTGCCACAGCTCGCATTGATGTGCCATCCTGGATGAGCTGCACTACCTGAGCCACTTGTGTGGGTTGTAGACTCCGTCTCATGCTACCACTAGAGTGAAAGCACCGCCAGCATTCAAAAGTGACCAAAACATCAGCCAGGAAGCATAGGAACTGAGAAGTGGTCTGTGGTCACCAACTGCAAAACCAGTCCTTTATTGGGGGTGTCTTGCTAATTGCCTATAAGTTCCACCTGTTGTCTATTCCATTTGCACAACAGCATGTGAAATGTATTGTCAATCAGTGTTGCTTCCTAAGTGGACAGTTTGATTTCACAGAAGTGTGATTGACTTGGAGTTACATTGTGTTGTTTAAGTGTTCCCTTAATTTTTTTGAGCAGTGTATTTTGATTTAACCCTTTTTTTTGTTGCTACATGATTCCATATGTGTTATTTCATAGTTTTGATGTCTTCACTATTATTCTACAATGTAAAAAATTAAGACAAACCCTTGAATGAGTAGGTGTATCCACATTTTTGACTGGTACTGTATATTTGTTTCATGGTACACAAGACACCAGTCTAATTCACGCCTGTCTCAGTGGACTAATCCATTGTGGGGTTGGTGTGGTCCATGAAGAAGGGGAGTGTGGCTAAGATGCACAATGCACGTCTTTCTCCAGAATGCGATCTCTCGCCATTTCGTGTGCATTCATGGTTTCATAACTTCATTGTGTGAATTGTTTGACCTTTTGATTTAAAGGGTTTTATTAAAGACAGAAATACTCCTGAGCACAAGGTGCACCTGTGTAATGATCATGCTGTTTAATCAGCTTCTTGATATGCCAGACCTGTCAGGTGGATGGATTATTTTGGCGAAGGAGAAATGCTCACTTACAGGGATGTAAACAAATGTGTGCACAACATTTTAGAGAAGCTTTTTGTGCGTAAGGAACATTTCTGGGATCTTTTATTTTTACGTGTTGCGTTTATTTGTGTTCATATTATTATTATTATTATTATTACAGCCGTGTACCATTTATCTTTGTCGAAGTGGACACGTTGTTTACAGAGCGCACAACCTATGCTACACTTATGAGAAACAAGTTTTGGTTTATTTAGTTCCATTTATGAGTTTTGTCAATTTATTCATTATTTTGTTTGGAGTGTTCCTGTCAATGTTGAGTAAGGACGTACACCTGATTTACACATATAGAAGTAGGCCTAGGCTACCTGGCCTATAAATGTGCCCCATTTGGGGATGTCTGATAATATTTCCGATTTGTCTTAACGCACTACCACTAATGAGCTATGGAGCTTCTCAAAGTAATTTTTTCTTTACATCAAACAGCAAGTAAACAAAGTCCGTTTTTAGAATCCATTGAGAATTACAATTGTTCCTCAATGTATTTGAAAAATATTTCCAGCTCTCTCCCTTTCAATACCACTCGGCATGAAAGGGGAAAATGTAATGCTCTGATCCAGTGGAAAAGTCATACAATACCGGATTACTTCTTATCCCTTGCACAAATGGCCTACGGCTGTATCTGTTCTGAGCTCACTGCAACGGGGAAACTCTTGAGGGCCCAGAATATTTTATACAATGTTGCAAGTTTGCTAGTGCGAACTTTGGGCCGGACCCAGTTAAAGTTTATACAATGTTTCAAGTTCCTTTCCAACAGGCAATGCGTAACATTGTATAAACTGAGTGGCGCAGTGGTCTAGTGGTCTAAGGCACTGCATCGCAGTGCTAACTGTGCCACTAGAGATCCTGGTTCGAATCCAGGCTCTGTCGCAGCCGGCCGCGACCGGGAGACTCATGGGCGGCGCACAATTGGCCCAGCGTCGTCCAGGGTAGAGGAGGGAATGGCCGGCAGGGATGTAGCTCAGTTGATAGAGCATGGCGTTTGCAACGCCAGGGTTGTGGGTTCGATTCCCATGGGGGGGCAGTATATTTTTAAAAAATATATATATTCACTTACTGTAAGTCGCTCTGGATAAGAGCGTCTGCTAAATGACTAAAATGTAAATGTAGCCAATGTGATTTATAAGATATTTATTTTTATCAGGAAATGTCCTACCTGCAGGCTGCAATGTTTTTATTTGTTGGCTTTATGAAGGCTATTTTTACATAGTTGGCAATGGTAATAGAAGTTACTTTTTAGATTTGTATCATTTTCATTTAGATTTCGACAATTATTTTAAGATACCATTACTTTATTATAAATTAAATGAGACTGTTCCACCAAAATGTGCATAAGAAAATCAAAACTGGCACGCAGATCGGTAGAAATGGTAAGATAAATTGGCACTCTAAATGGAAAAGGTTGCCTACCCCTGGTGTAGCCTATTACCGGCAACTTCAGGAGCATAACATGGCCAGCAGCAGCGGGATGAGGGGGGTTGGGAACAGGTTTTCTTTCTTCTGGTAAGGCTATCTTGATGTCTAGCTCCCTCTTGAGTCATTTGTGCCTGAATTATTTAATCAAACAGTGTGCTTAAAGCATCAGACAAGCTCAGTAGCCTACATATAGTTAATTTTATTAAAACACATATGGTGTGTCTATATGGAAAAATACATGTTTAATTTTGTTTTAGACCTATTGGTAGATGGGAAGAAAAGAAGCAGACCTTGAATAGCCCTTTGAACATGGAGCATGGTATTAATTACACTTTGGATGGTGTATCAATACACTCAGTTACTACAAAGATACAGGCGTCCTTCCTAACTCAGTTGCCGGAGAGGAAGAAAACCGCTCCTGTATTTCTCCATGAGGCCAATGGTGACTTTAAAACTGTTAGTTTAATGGCTGTGATAGGAGAAAACTGAGGATGGATCAACAACATAGTTACTCCACAATACTAACCTAAATGACAGAGAAAAGAAGGAAGCCTGTACAGAATACAAATATTCCAAAACATGCATCCTCTTTGCAATAAGGCACTAAAAAACTGCAAATTAAATGAACTTGTCCTGAATACAAAGCGTTATGTTTGGCAAACACAACACATCACTGAGTACCACTCTTATTTTCAAGCGTGGTGGCTGCATCATGTTATGGGAATGCTTGTCATCAGCAAGGGAGATTTTTAGGATAAAAAGAAACTGAATAGAGCTAAGCACAGGCAAAATCCTAAAAGGAAAACCTGGTTCAGTCTGCTTTCCAAATGTACCTTTCAGCAGGTTTCAGCAGGACGATAACCTAAAACACAAGGCCAAATATACACTGGAGTTGCTTCCGAAGATTTACATTGAATGTTCTTGAGTGGCCTAGTTACAGTTTTGACTTAAATCGTCTTGAACATCTATGGCAAGACTTGAAAATGGCTGTCTAGGAATGATCAACAACCAACATGACAGAGCTTGAATAATTTTGTACAATCCAGGTGTGCAAAGCTCAGAGACTCAACAGCTGTAATTGCTGCCAAAGTTGATTCTAACATGTATTGACTGAGGGGTGTGAATACTAGTTTTCTGTATTTCATTTTCAATAAATTTGCAAAAATGTCAACGCATCTTTTCCCTTTGTCATTATGGGGTATTTTGTGTATATGGGTGAGAAAAATAATTAAATCAATTTTGAATTCAGGCTGTAACACAACATTTGGAGTAAGTCAAGGAGTATGAATGCTTTCTAAAGGCACTGTACCGAACTTCGTTACACAGGAAATGGCTGTGAACACCCTAGTGAGGTCATATTCTGTCCCCTGGCCCTGTGGCGGGCGGGCTGTCGACTCAACCTGTGCCCACCTGCCTCCGGGCCAGGAGAGGGGGAACAAGAGAAAGAACGAGGGAGGAAGAGGAGGAACGCCTGCCTGGTATTCCAGACCTACTGCTGTCGGTCTGAGTAGAGTTGAGCAGCATTCAAGTGGTCCCTTCCTGGAGTTTCCCCCTCTGCTGCACTCTCAGGAAAAAAGATGGTTATAGGTGCAATTTTGTCTGGAGCATGTAATTAGAATGGCAGGGTAATTGGTGAAGCTGAGCTCATGTCATGCTGTTGGAGATACAGCATCTGATAGTGCATGTTTACCCTCTGCTGCTCCATGGGGTGTGTTTCTCTGTGTGTGTGTGTGTGTGTGTGTGTGTGTGTGTGTGTGTTTTCTTAATTACCAGACAACTTATGGTAATGTCCCTGTTTGCGATGTGAAGTGTGCCAATGTATTTTAAAGGCGGCCGCATACTAGGTTCGGTTTGCTCCTAGCAGAACTCGGCTAGGCGACACAATCGTTTGTGCCTCACATACTTCTTTAAAAGACCTTTGCTTGAAAAATGAGAAAAGCGTTAGTACTGTTTGCCCCATTTGAGACACCATATTAATAGCATAGCCAGTATACACTTTCTCAAAATAGTCCCAATTAATCTAAGATAAATCAAGAAATCTGTAATCAACTTTCATGTTTGAGGTCTTAGTCGTGCAATTTTACATTTAACTAAGATGTTTCGTACAGTATTTCCCAAGTTAAAAAATGTGCATAAAACACTAGTCTCTCGTTGAATGACGACAAACATTTAATTGAAGAATCCCATCCATAGTTCCCACTCCTAGGACTAGTACTGTTGACCAATCACCGACAAATGGTCGTAGACAGGGCCTAAAACTAACTGTTTTGTATACCAGCCACTGTGGCAGGTAGATAAACAAAATATTATAAAAACATCTACCAGCCACTGATATTTTTTTAACCAGCCCAAATATTTTTGTTTGCCATAACTACACAAAGAAAAAAACTGAGCATGCTAAGGAATGTTTCTAAAACAATAAATGTATTACTAGTAAGAAGTAATGTGGTATATTGCTCAATTTAATTTAATATTCTGTGACCTGAGTATTTAAAATAAATATCAGATACAAAAATGTTTAGCTACCCTTTTTAGGGTTACCTTGGTGACAGGGCCACTTGAGTCATCACGTGCGAATGTCACCAGTAGAGGCCGACAATTTATCTTTGCTAGCATTGGGAACAAACTCAAACATTGATAAGCAACCTAGCTTTTGAACAAACAATGTAAGTAGCCACGAAACATGAGGACAATGACTCACTTTAGGAGACTTTCAAGTTAATTAGGTTAACAATGTGCCCATTGCTTCTAAAAATGATGATTTCAGCACTCAGTCCCTCAGACAGGCAGTGTTGCTGTGCAAGGTGGGATAGCTATAACGTTAGGATTCAGATTTCTTTGTGCATTACCAGATATAAAACAAAACTGAAGAAATACTTTGAAAACAACTATAAATTACAGCTCGCACTTGTGCCCATACTTTTTTATTAAATGCTCACACTGTAGAGCCCGGAGAGTTACCACACGCCAACGTGGCTGGTGAGTTTGACATCCTTACCCGCCAGTGTCAATCTACCCACGTTTGGCGGGTGTTTTTTAATTTTAGGACCTGTTTGTACTTTGGCTACCAAACTTCGACAGCCAAAATGAACAAAAACCTCAACTTTGTCTTAATATATGCTTGAACTGTTTTGACTGGAAAGCAAGCATGCAAAAGGCTTAAGCCTCTCTCTTGGTTAGAACTGATTGTCGGCAGCCAAGTTAGTGAAAGTGGGCCGCAACAGTGGGACGTTTGCGTCCATCGGTAAAAATAGATATTTGCCAATGATTTACCACGTTTGCCCAGGATTGAACTTGATCTTGGCTAGAATGGCTACTGCAGCCAGCTGTAGTTCAGCTCATTGTACAGTCGTGGTCAAAGGTTTTGAGAATGACACAAATATTAATTTTCATAGTCTGCTGCCTCAGTTTTTATGATGGCAATTTACATATACTCCAGAATGTTATGAAGAGTGATCAGATGAATTGCAATTAATTGCGAAGGCCCTCTTTGCCATGAAAATGAACTTAATCCCCCCAAAAAACATTTCCACTGCGTTTCAGCCCTGCCACAAAAAGACCAGCTGACATCATGTCAGTGATTCTCTCGTTAACACAGGTGAGAGTGTTGACGAGGACAAGGCTGGAGATCACTCTGTCATGTTGATTGAGTTAGAATAACAGACTGGAAGCTTTAAAAGGAGGGTGGTGCTTGAAATCATTGTTCTTCCTCTGTTAACCATGGTTACATTTACATTTTAGTCATTTAGCAGACGCTCTTATCCAGAGCGACTTACAGTTAAGTGAGTGCATACATAATTTTTTTATTTTTCATACTGGCCTCCCGTGGGAATCGAACCCACATCCCTGGCGTTGCAAACGCCGTGCTCTACCAACTGAGCTAAATCCCTGCCGGCCATTCCCTCCCCTACCCTGGACGACGCTGGGCCAATTGTGCACCGCCCCATGGGTCTCCCGGTCGCGGCCGGCTACGACAGAGCCTGGATTCTAACCAGGATCTCTAGTGGCACAGCTAGCACTGCGATGCAGTGCCTTAGACCACTGCAAGGAAACGCGTGCCGTCGTCATTGTTTTGCGCAAAAAGGGCTTCACAGGCAAGGATATTGCTGCTAGTAACATTGCACCTAAATCAACCATTTATCGGATCATCAAGAACTTCAAGGAGAGCGGTTCAATTGTTGTGAAGAAGGCTTCAGGGTGCCCAAGAAAGTCCAGCAAGCTCCAGGACCGTCTCCTAAAGTTGATTCAGCTGCGGGATCGGGGCACCACCAGTGCAGAGCTTGCTCAGGAATGGCAGCAGGCAGGTGTGAGTGAATCTGCAAGCACCGTGAGGCGAAGAGTTTTGGAGGATGGCCTGATGTCAAGAAGGGCAGCGAGGAAGCCACTTCTCTCCAGGAAAAACATCAGGGACAGACTGATATTCTGCAAAAGGTACAGGGATTGGACTGCTGAGAGTCATTTTCTCTGAATCCCCTTTCCGATTGTTTGGGGCATCTGGAAAAAAGCTGAGCGCTACCATCAGTCCTGTGTCATGCCAACAGTAAAGCATCCTGAGACCATTCATGTGTGGGGTTCCTTCTCAGCCAAGGGAGTGTGATCACTCACAATTTTGCCTAACAACACAGCCATGAATAAAGAATGGTACCAACACATCCTCCGAGAGCAACTTCTCCCAACCATCCAATAACATTTTGGTGACGAACAATGCCTTTTCCAGCATGATGGAGCACCTTGCCATAAGGCAAAAGTGATAACTAAGTGGCTCTGGGAACAAAACATCGATATTTTGGGTCCATGGCCAGGAAACTCCCCAGACCTTAATCCCATTGAGAACTTGTGGTCAATCCTCAAGAGGCGGGTGGACAAACAAAAACCCACAAATTCTGACAAACTCCAAGCATTGATTATGCAAGAATGGGCTGCCATCAGTCAGGATGTGGCCCAGAAGTTAATTGACAGCATGCCACGGCGGATTGCAGAGGTCTTGAAAAAGAAGGGTCAACACTGCAAATATTGACTCTTTGCATAAACTTAATGTAATTGTCAATAAAAGCCTTTGACACTTATGGAATGCTTGTAATTATACTTCAGTATACCATAGTAATATCTGACAAAAATATCTAAACACTGAAGCAGCAAACTTTCTAAAGACCAATACTTGTCATTCTCAAAAATGTTGACCACGACTGTACACATACACCATCTTCTCTCAAACCAGCCTCAAACACTTTTTAATGCGTTTCGGTATTTATCTTCTCTGGAAACTATGTCCCCCACATCAACAAGTAGGATTTCAGGGTTTTGACTCACTCTCTAAAGGAAAGTGATGTGTTTGCCAGAAGATATTTAAAGATTTGTCACGTGGTAGCCAGACTTGTAATGTTTTTATAGTAATTTTATGTGTGTGCCCTATTTGAAGGGGAAATACCCCTTTTCAACACACCACACACACTATCATCCGAGACGCACTTTACCTGCACGTTAAATACAGTGAAAGCAGAATGATAACCTCAGCCAGTTTCTGCTGTCCCCCTCCTAAAAGAACAGAACCACTTAATTTCACCAGTCGGTGTACCATTTCCTGTAGTAGAAGGCAGCACCGTCAAATGAACTAACATTAAACTGTCTCCCCTCCAATCCAAACTTTTTCCTGCTTCCCCCTTCTAGCCCCAGCCAGCCCCTCATCTCCTTGCATGCAGAGCAGGATGAAGATCCTCTGAATACGCCCCCATGGTTTACACAGCTGCTGGAAATTTCCTTTAAAGGAAGTGTGCTGCTGGCTGGGCTGGTCACTGACCGAGGAGGGCCACTGGCGGGGACGGGCCAGGCAGGGCTACACCGAGAGGGGTCATGCTCTGGTCTGGTGGCACTTATGAATACTACTTTCTAGGTCCAGGACAGGTCGCATAAACCAGCTTAGCATCTGTTTCTAGCTGTATGACACTGAGACTGACCCTTCACTACTACTGTGAATGGAAGTCTGGTCTGATGTCGGATCTGTCACATCGTTATGAACACTGCGTTGCCTCAAGGCTAAATCTATTCTGTAGCCCTCTGGTAGATATTCAATTGACTGGTTTTCAAATGATTACACATTTTTGAGTCAGAGGTTAGGCTACAAAAGGCCCCCATATATTCCCAGTAGCATGCATGCTAACTGCTCTCCAGTTTTCCCTGTAATCCAGACCAGTGCTGATGATCCCAGTGTAGGGAGATCTCTACCCTGGGGTCAGGCCCCAGCTATAGGCCTATACCACCAGTGTAGGGAGATGTCTTCCCAGGCCCCAGCTATAGGCCAGTATAGGGAGATTCTCATTTCCATGACATAAGGATTTAAGAGGCCTTGCTCTCTCCTCTCTGGTAACAAATTCTGCAACTCCAACTCTGAATAGCCTACATCAGCTCTTATATCCCTCCATCCCTCCCTCACCCTTTTTCCCCCCATCCTTTCTTCATCTCTCCCTCCCTCCTGCTCTCCTCTGCAAAGAAGCAAACCCAGCTCTGTAGTCTGACTAGCCAACTTGCTCGCTGGTATCCCGCCATCCATCCCTGTCATTCCCTTCCTTCCCTCTATCCCTCACTCAATACTCTCAAAACGAGAGATGTTTAGTGTTCTGGCTCTTTTTTTAACTGTGACCAGAGAGTTAAGTTTCCTCTCTGCCCATCATTGCTGCTGGATCTGAATCTCTGTATCTGAACCAGTTTATAGACATTGAGCGCTGAATCCCATCTCACTGTATCCGCTTGAGCCTGCCATTCTGTCAGCTTATAGTTTCCCTAATGCAAGCTGATTTTTGTTTGAGACCAGCGTATTTCAGTTTGCTGTTTTCACAAGACCAACAACCCGTCCCTTCTCCACCCAGCTCTCAGTGAGAGAAGTAGGCCCTAAATCCTGACTTCCGTCCTGAAGAAATATCCACATGGATGATCATATCCACATCATTCCTCATAACAGCCCGACCGCTAAAACATTACCATTGTTATTGTGAGGTCAGTGTGGCTCTAGCCCTGGCGGAAAACATTTACCATTTGAAAGTGTGTTGAGAGAACCTCTTTCTAAAAGGATTGAGGGAGAAAGAGTGCTCTCCTTTGTGTGGTGTTTCCATCTCTCGCTCTCTCTCTCGCTCTCTCTGCACACAAAGTGTTTAGTAGCTGGTTAATTGGCAGTAGTGTGTGGTCGATCGATGCTGGGACTAACCACTCTTCTAAAGGTCAGGTCGGTGCACCTACGCACACACGCAGCAGTGTGCCGCGGTCCTCTGTGCCAGCCCAGCGTGTCTCTAGCCCCGCCCCCTTCCACCACACTGATCCCTTTGTTCAGCCCCTCTCATTGGCCCCCCGTCCCCACGCCAACCGTTGCTATGTATACTGTTAATGGTGTTGGGTTACCCAGATGTATGGATTGTTCTCTGAAAATCTGAATCTGTCCACGAGAGATTGAGCCGTTATTTTATCCAAGACAAATTTCCTAAATTAGTTTGTGGTGAGACAGTCACTGTAAAGGTATGATGACTATGCCAGCCTTAGGCTTTCCTCATCATAATAGTCCCTGATTAGATTCCTGAAATGCAGACAGGAAAATAATTTGACTAGGAGGAAAGATATTCAGCCCTCCTCGCCTGTCTCTCCTTCTCATGTTAAATCTTGACACTTCACTTGAGGCAGCTCAAATGGATTGATTTCCTGTTGGAGAAAGTTTGAATGTGAAACATTTTAAAGAATTCTAAACATTGTGCAGGGTTTAGGAATCTACATCTGGAGATTTGTCGTGTTGCGACTGTCTAGCGTGAAAACAAGGATTAGAAAAACAAGTACAGTGTGAAATACACCTCTTGAAATTAATCTCCCTCTTTCTCGCTCCCCCTCTTTCTCTAGGTGAATCTGGTTTGGGGAAGTCTACACTGATCAACTCCCTCTTCCTGACAGACTTGTATTCTCCTGAATACCCTGGTCCCGCCCACAGAATCAAGAAGACAGTACAGGTAAACACTAGGATACCCTATTGATTTATTTGTGGTTTATTTGAATGGGAACAGATAAACACAATGAATAAACAATCATCTGATGTGCTTATGTGTTGCACCATAGCTTGAGCTAATTTTCAACACCCTACTTCCGTTTCTCTCTTGGAATACGCTATCATACTTCTGTCCCTTTGTAAGCTTAAACGAATGAGTAGGCTCACCCCCCCTTCCCCTCCCTCCTCTTAACAGGACATTACTGAGATAAATATTTCAGTTCACTCGCAACGTTAAAAACGCTGTTTCCTGTTGCTTTAGGTGCAGGGTGATAGCTAGGTAATCTGTCTCTGTCCTGTCTGACTACCCATAAGTCCCTCTGTTGGCCACAGAACTTCCCTCTAGTCTGGTATATTATCTGATGTTGAGGCACCCTGCCAAGTCAGCATTTTTTTATAATGCTGGAGTCTAAAGGAATTCATACCATTAGGTCTAACCCAGAGGTTTGGCCATAATCTGACGCAGAGCTGGGTCATGTTCAGGCGTGACATAGTAAATCCTTGTTTTGGACCGTTTTCTTCTATTTGAACGCTCTTTTTCTTTTTCCGTTGTAAAACATTTCGCTACGGTGTGCCCTAATGAACACGACCATGTAATATCTGTTTCTCTGGGCTCTCCTTGAATGTAACCTTGACATTGGCCTGGTTAACTGCTGGTGCCCCAGGCTGTGGTAACACCAGTGTGCCCCAGCCAGCTCCCACCCAGCCCTTTGTGTTGTTTTGGGTCATTGATGTCACAGGCCCTCCCTCCACTACATACCAGCTCTCTGACATGCTGCTGGTGAGGCTTCAGGCTAGGCCACTCTTAAGAGTCGATACCCTAACAGGGTGTAACAGGTTACCCTGTTACCACCGCTGCCCTGTCTGTCTGTGAATAGCAAGAGACCTGCAACCAGTTTATCTACTTGGACTAGGAGGAATGTCTTTGACTGCAAAGAGAGAGGCCTGCTGAAACCATACAGAATATCAGGTGCGGGCGACTGACTCATCGACTGGGAAAAGGAATGGTGTGCTAAACAAATAGCAACAGGGAGTTTTTGGCTGGAGAGAGAACTAGTACATCATTATAACTGGAGTCATGCTCCTCTCCTCCTCTCTGTGGGTGTACTAGTACTGACTACTGAGCCAGCAGTTCATTCTTAGGTCAGGGGAAATGCGCTAACTGGGCCCCGCTTGATGGCCGCTGCTGTTAAACTGTAGCCAGAGGCGCGCGCTCAGCTGTAAAGGTGCAGAGCCAGAGGGTCACATACTAGGGAGGAAATATTAGTCCAGGCTGATGAATGAGCCCCAGTCAATCTGGGAAATCAGTTGACAACCAAGGGGTTAACAACCAGACCACCACGCTACCCTGTGATTTATGACACACAAACACACTCGCAATGTAATTTTCATTAAGAGAAGCAGTGGAATGGTTGAGAGATATTATAACAGTAAATCTGGTATTAGGGGTTTTCTTACACTTGTGCTGTACGGCCCAAACCAGTGTTTTGCTATTGGTGTGGTGGTAGTGGTATTGACAGCTGACACTGATTTCCAAGAGGAAGTTGTGCTGTACATGTAGGCTGGAGTGTCACATTGATTTGTGGAAATTAAAAGAGGGACTAAAGCAGGGGTGGGCAACCTACGGCCTGGGGGCCGGATCTGCCCCGCGAGCCCATTCAATCTGGCCCACGGGAGGTTAAATATATTATATATAAGTAGGGAATCGTGTGTGTTGGGCTTCTGAGTGCCTTCAGAATGGGTGGGTAATGGTGAGCATAGGCGTCTGTCTGTGTGAGCATAGGTGACTGTGCATGCATTTGGGTGTTTCTTTGTCTGTGCATTGGAGTGTGTGAGCGATTGAGAGGCATGTGAGCATATATGAGTTTGTTTGTCTGTGTGTGTGTATACTGTATGTGGGCCAGGTGTGTGAGAACGCTGTCAGCAGTGATGGACTGGCTCCCTGGCCCGTGGCGGCAGCAGCAGCATAGCAGAGAGAGACTGAGCCTGCCAAGACCTCATTCATGTCTTGGAACATCTCTGCATCACATTATTTATGCCACATGCACCACAGTATTTATGACCTAGTTCAGCTCAATAAGTGTTAATGTAAGCACTGGAGAGACTACAGCTGGCTGGGTAACTAACTAACCACACTGTAACTCCCTCTAACGGCCCTGTTAGATGGGGGGGGCCTCCTCAACCACGTTGAGAAATACTTTTCTTCTCATGTCCAGTTTTATCACTGACGCTCATGTTTCTGAATATGGAATATTCAAACATCTGTGAAACAAGTGTCTGTAAAACTTCACACAGTTGTTTTGCAACATGTCTACACTGCAGACACCTATTTGTAAATGGCTGTTTTGCTGAGAGAGCTGCCTGTGTTATCTGTTTGCTGATCTCTGAGGCCAGGTTTAAAAGAGCCAAATGTCAAGTTAAGAGTATTCCCCTAAATGTCCCATCCTGTTGGTTTATTCTGTTTGGCTTGCAGCTGCCCCTGGCCCCACACACTGGCTGAAGAGCTCTGTCTGTTGTTGGATCTCATTTAATGTGTCAAGTATGGCCTTCAGGCCAATTCCTGGTGTTGAAAGCCATAAACAACCTGCAGTTCATATGTGTGCCAAAGGATTGGCCATGCACACACAGCGCAGGGGGGCGCTCCAAACAGACTGTTTCCTGTGATGATTGAATGGGTGATAAAACATGGGTCTCTTGTCAGAGCTGGGCTGCATGCCTCTGAGAGAGAGAGAGAGACACACACACACACATAGTTACTCATATTATGACGCCACACCTCTATCCAATGAAAGATCACTATTAATCCCATATTCTACCTGGCTTGAAAGTTTCTCAATAGGAGAATGATTTGTCATTGGATAACAGTTTGTGATGTCTTGTACAGGCCAGAGTGGAGTAGCCTGGGTGCCAATCTCTGTCATGCCAACAATTCCATAAGGAGTTGGCAAGCGAGCAGAAACAGACTGGCACCCAGGCTAAGGTAGGTGAGGATGCATGTTTTAATAGTGCCGAAATGATGTCATTGGGCTCGTTCTGGCGTGCCTGTGGAGGGCGTGAGAGGTGAGGCGTGCCAGGTTTCAGGGCCTGCCAGGATAAGGTACTCCTACCAGTCTATTGCTTCCATAGCTGTGGAATCCTCAGTCTGCTGGTGATTCCGTTTTAGTATTTGTAGGATTTGATTAGGATCCCCATTAGCTGCTGCTAACGCAGCCGTTACTCTCCCTGGGGTCCACACAAAACATAACATGACATATAATACAGAACATTATAGACAATAACTCAAGGACAGAGCTACATGGATTTAAAATAATAATTCACACTTTCATACCCTTAAGTCTTAACAGTCCAATGCTTAATAACATTACACATACGCCAGCGCATACATAATCTTTTGTTAATCGTAATATGTTAGAGATACCACCCAGTGGGTCTCTTGTGGTGAAATGGTAACCTTGGTGTTGTTGTTCATTAAAAGAAGTAACATAGTCACACAGCATTGGAGCCGTTCACCCAGTGAATGGAGTCCCATACATATGTTGCCTCAGCAACCGTGACAGCCTTGACTTTTCGTTATATTTTAGTCACCTCCAGATATAGTGGGTTGGAGTGAAGTTGAAGTTAACTTAGTGTAGCTGAACAGAGTCAGAGCCATTCATTAAATGAAAAGGGTCCTATACATAAAATACTGGACTTTCGTTATATGTTATAGTCACCACCAACTGTCAAGTGTAACTTGGTGGAGCTGCATAAAAACAGTCACACCGGGGCGGAGCCATTCATAAAAGGAACTGGGTACATCAGTTTCCTCCAGCTAAAGCCTACTCTAGCTAACGTCGTGTGAAGAAAAAGACAGAGACCTAAATCTAATATCTCTCTCTTCCCATCTCTCCACTGTTTCTCTTACAGCCTGTTTAAGTTCAGTGGCATGGGCACATGTTATCTTTAACTCAAACACCAGATGTTCTCGGGAGAGAGCGGAGTGGATTTTCTTTTTTGGTCAGTAAGGAGAGGCATTGTGTTGTGAGGTGCTGTTTTTAATTAAAAAAAGTGTGTGCTGTTTGCTTGAGTGATTTGAGATGGCAGGACGTTCCAGGCAGTCATGGCTCTATATAATATTGTGTGTTGCCTTGACCTCGTTTTGGATTTTGGGACTGTGAAGACACTTCTTGATGCATGTCTCTGATGTTAGGAATGTCTGTCAGAGCTGTATGTTAGCTGATTGAATAGACAGTTTGGAATTTTTAACACATTAATATTTCTTGCAAAAACAAGATGTGAGGCAGTCAACCTCTTCTCTACTCCTGGGTTGACTTCCCAGGTTGTTTGGGTCTTTGTTTGTTCAGCACTAGCAGTAAAAGTCCTTACTAAGGGTTCTGGATCTGAAGGTTGAGGGAGGAAGAGGGGTAGAGAAGGAGCCTGACAAGGAGAGAGGGGGGAAAAAAGGGAGCAGGAGTATCTGATCTACTACCACTGAATGCTATTATACCAGTTGAAGAAGAGGAAGTAGTCATAGTAGTAACAGGAAGTAGTACTGATCAATGGTTAGCCATCTAGTTTGACCTGCTTCCTCTCCTGGGCCCTCGGCATCAGGTTAGGTGTGCAGCAGGAGTGCTATCTAGTTTTCAGACTTCATAGAAACAACCCTCCATGAAGGTTTAACCACATTGTATTGTACCTCCCTTTTGAAGTTGCAGGAAAGTGATCCCGTTTCTGTGAATCACAGCCAATAGAAACATGGCCTCTGCCTCGTCCCCCTCAGCCTGGGTGTGTGTGGTATTCCATGCATTTTAAGGGGCTTCTCTTGACTTGTTTCATCTCATGTGTGATTCCTCTCAACACTACAGTCTAAATCTCCACTAAGCCCAGCACCCGCCAATTTGTTTACCTGCGAATTACACACCCTTAAGCACTTATTAAAGTTTCAACGAGATTAGTGTGTGTGAGTGCATTTGCTCTGCTTCTTTTGGCTTCAATAGTAAACATTATTCCAGAGGTTTCCTGATAAACTTGTCTGGGTCAGGATCCCAGAAGGGAAGAGTAGCTAGTGGGAACTCTACGCTTGTTTATCCTAGAGGAATAGGGGAAGAATGAAGAAAGCATTCCTTTTTAATTTTTCCCCTCCTCCCTCTCTCCAGGAACCACAAACTGAGATTTCACATAATTGTGGTGTCTTTTGTTTCCCAGTCGAGCCAGAGTGATGTGATGAAACCCTATGGAATGCATTGGTTGGGTAATGAACAACAGACCCTCCATGATCCATCCAGATCTGTTCAGAGGCCTGAAGACCTTGGGGTGATGAGGGCTATGCTATATTGTTTGTGTTATTGAAGGGACGGGGCTAGCCTGGTCCCAGATGTGTTTGTGCTGTTCAGCCGACTTTAGTGCTCATTGCCACCGACCGACCATAGGAGTTGGCTGAACAAATCTGGACCAGGCTAGGGCAGGCGTATGTGTAGGTAGTTAAGAGCAGATGGAGAGGGGCGACGAGGCTGGCGCTTAGCGTGCTAATGTCTGTCTGCCAGCCTAATATCCTCATGTGACACAGCTGAGCCAACCAACTGTAGGGGAGGAGAGGAGTGTGGCGAAGCGGTCAGTGTTGGGGTTCCTCTTCCCTGTCTGTCTGTGAGCTCATTGTGGTCAGCCACTTAGAGGCATGACTGTGGCATGACTCACTCTGTTGAGGAGAGAGGGAGGAACCGAGAGGGAGCAAGAGAGAGGAGAGCGAGCAGGGGGGGGATAAGAGGGGGAAAGGGGAAGATAGAGGGGGTAGGGAGAGCGAGAAGGAAGAGAGAGGAGGGAGGGATTAAACTTCTGTTTGCAGATTCTTTCCTAGATGTTTACTCAAAACTGATCCTTCTCCTCTTACCATTACACTGTTTAGTACCATCTCTAACTCATTCCAGACAGGGAGGGGTCCATGTCGTTGTTTTTATCAATTCAGCATCTCACACTAGCATCTGCCATTCATGACACTGTAAAGGGCGCAGTCAGTTGAACAGCATGAATGTAGTCCCGTGTAGCTCAGTTGGTAGAGCATGGCATTTGCAACGCCAGGGTTGTGGGTTCGATTCCCACGGGGGGCCAGTATGGAAGAAAAAAAATATGTATGCACTCACTAACTGTAAGTCTGCTAAATGACTAAAATGTAAATGAAACCAGTTTTTTTTTTAATGCCACTGTCAATCATCTATGCTATGATGGAGCCTGAGAATATATCTGTAACCAGTTTAGTTTTAGTTACAACAAGACTAGATGAGAGGTAGGGAGCGAGGGGAGGAGAGGGCAAAAGAGAGTGGGGAAGGAGAGAGGAAATCCTACTGGTGCTTAGAGGATCTGGTTGAGGTCTATGAATCTCCACCACCACCAGTAGCCAGCAGCAGCTGGGGTTAGCGGTCAGGAAAGGAGACTGGAGGATATCAATGTGCAGTCTGGATTCCTGTGACGGAAGGTCACGGAGGTCAGGGGCAGCACCACACACACTTTGAGCTGGAATGAACAGCCGCGTTCTAGTAGGGTTTAATGGATGAGGAGGTCAACGTTTCACACGCCGTAAAGAATCCTCCGGCCCACCAGCTCCAGGTGTCAGTGTCTGGCTAGGGTGGGGGGACAGACTTGTCGTCACGCTGCCCTATAAAAAGGCACCCACTAAAACACACTAGTTGTTTTCTCTTTTATTACCTCATTCTCCTTTATCGATGGTCAAAATTTGTGTGAATCATCTATGGAACCAAATACCTGCCAAAAGATTGAACGTACGTATCGTTAGCATCAAAAGGAAATCCATATGTAAATTGTTAGGATCGTAAGAAAAGCCACGCGTGAAACATGAAATGTAAATGTTAAAATAGATCTGTAAACGTACAAGCCCTATGTTACGACAATTCTTACTTTACGTCTCCCTTTATTCGGTTACAGATATTTTTTATTCGTAAAACTTTTGTTAGTAATGTGGCATCTGCAAAGGACATGAACCGAACGTAGCTAGTCGAAGTTAGCTAGTCAATGAAGCAACTCTAGCCAAGATGTTAGTCGCTTCCGGTTTCATTTCCAGAATAAAAGTCTAGAACTTGTTTTAGAACTGCATTCAATAAAGACGTTATACTAGTAGATGACGTAGTATAGGCTTGGGCCTTCAGCAAATGACTTGTGTGAGAATGATAGACACAGAAGAGCCTTGTCTAGAATAACCGCCTGAGCTGCTGAATAGAAAGTAAATATGATTTTTAGGCCTATTCCACTATCTAAATATGCCATGCTGTTGTGGGTTATTTAATGGCCATATAATTGCATTATTTATTTTTATAGCTGCGTGGGGCTACTGTGGTGATCATGTAACCTAATGAATCACACCTTTTCCAGTATTTGGGAGCACAGACTGTAGGCCTTATATTATATTTGCGAATTCCACTCGGTATGTAGGCTTGTTATAGCCACTTGCGTTGCACAACCCTATCACGCAGAGGCTAAATCCATATCAATAAATGAGACAAAACAAAATATTGATTTAAGTCTTTTTGCTATAACCTGTCCTGAGCTAAATAGCCAAGGGGTCCCAAATGGTCAAGACTATCTATAACCTATTCTTATTGGCAGATCTGTTTTCCCTATCAGCCACTGCATGTGCTTCTTCAACTATTTTGTTTAACATGTATTTAGAGGCTATATTTAGAGGCCTGTGAGCTAGGGTCTCTTTAAGGGGAGCCCTATAATAAAAGCAGTTATAAAACACAAATAGAGTTATACAATTATTACACAAGAAACCCAGTACCCAAAATGATAGCCTAAATTGTAATGCCTACAAGTTGAAGGCCTATTTTTTTTTTTTTTGGATAGGCCTAAAGTAAACATAATTATTTTAAGTGATCGGCTAAAGAACTTTGGATAATTTTGAATACACATGATTTTCAATAAACAAATGGATGAGACTGTTCTATTCTCTTTGATTTAGTTCCTATTGCAACTCAGACAAATGACTGAATGGATGACATACTGAACTGAATGAAATGTTCAAATATGTTGGAATGACGAGTTGCGTGCTCTGCACTTTATTTGGCTAGTAGGCAAATAGGCCTACATTAGGGTATAAAGAATCTGACTGCATGCCTCCAGAAGGTCAACTTCTGAGGCTGAGGGGTGCTTTTTTGAAGGCGCACGGTGCTGTGGTGCTGCATGGAGATCACAAGCTCTTCAACTGGGCGGCAGTGTCGCAATGGAGGGAATAGCCTATACGGAGACTACCTAAGACCACTGCAACATAGTTATTGTAAAGTGTGGGAATAAGCTTATGCCAGACTTAGCCTACGTTTAACCTCTCCCTTGTTCATTTCAAAGTCCATATGTTCATGACCTGATTCATATAAATCATGTCAAAGTATTTGAAATGTATATTAACCACTTCTACAGATTATGCTTTGGCAAGATTTTGAGTGATTTAAATAATCAATAATTGTTTTATTTTGAGTGGCAAAGACTCCAGTTGTCGTACATAATTCATAGAATAATAGATGTTTGGTGAATCCGTTTCATTATTCCTGGTAGATACTCCTGGTTAAGATTGCAGACAGAGCCCAGAGGATGGGATGGTGCAATAGTGAATTAGTCATATTTTGATAAGGTGCATGCATGCATGGGGATGTCTACGTCACCCAGAGATATGTCCATGCTGTAGAGATGCACCTAGCGGACTGAAACTTCACTGTTATAGGCATAATACAGCTAGTACTATCTAGACTTGCGCTGGCAAATAAATCCATTACATTGGCTACCTAAATGTGAAGTAAACTCAGCAGGAGTAATGGAAACTTTTAACTTGAAAACGTGCAGGATACCTCATTCCGGGTTCCCTGACTTCTGATTTTTGAATACTGTGTTATGCTTGTTCGAGTCGCACTCCTCGCAGGCCGTTTTGGTGTACGTTTTTTTTGTTTGTTGGTGAGATGAAACTGCCAAAACTTTGAAAGGTATTATTGTACGTCAGAATTGCAACAATTTGTTCAAGCCTAAAATGTTAGTCCGTGATCTTAACATGGTGTTTGTATGTTCACAGATAATTTTACGTTCATGTTTCATGCATGGATTTTCTTACAATCCTAACAATTTACATATGGATTTCTTATGATCCTAGAAATGTGCACGTTCAACCTTTTTGGCAGGTATCTGGCTCCATAATATGGAATAATTTTAGAACTCTATTTGTGTTTTATAACTTTTTATAATTTTTATTAGAAAATAAGCTCAACTTTTATATTGGAAATTAAACCGGAAGCTGCAAAGCAACTCTAACTTCTGGGCTAGAGTTGCTTGATTGGCTAGCTAACTTCGACTAGCTACGTTCGGTTCATGTCCTTTTGCAGATACCACATTCCTGACAAAAGTTTGTACGTATAAAAAAAGATCTGTAACCGAGTAAAGGGAGATGTAAAGTAAGAATTGAACGTGTAAATGTTCATTTGTAGTCGTAACATAGGGTTTGTACGTTTACAGATTTAATTTAGCAGTTACGTTTCATGTTTCACTAATGGCTTTTCTTACGATCCTAACCATTTTACGTATGGATTTTCTTACGATCCTAAAAATACGTACGTTCAACCTGTTGGCAGCTATCTGGCTCCATACTCAGGGCGTTGCTCTGTGTTAGCCAGCCAGGGGGTGGTCAGCCCACAGTGGGGCTGTGTGGAGGAGAGGAAGCCTTTAGCTTGGGCCCAGCGGGTGGAGCGGAGGGAGAGCAGCCATAACCCAGCCTCAGGCCTAGACCACGGGTATTATGTGGTGCTTTCTAAGTGGAAGGTGACGGCTCAGTTTAGCTGCTGAGGTTAAATTAAAATGTGCTGCTCTTAGATAAACTATGGGCTGCTGGCTGGGCTGGCCTTCTCAAAATGGTCCAACAGCAATGGAATATATCATCAAGTAAACAAAACGATGGTAAGGGCGCTTATATCACCAAGTACATCCGGTTGTGAGGTGTGTGTGTGTGGAAGCAAATGAGGTATAGTAGTGTTTTATGTTGGGGTCTGTGTACAACTGCTGAAGCAGAGCTTGCTTACTGTACACAGAGTTGCATTTAACACACACGCGTACAATGGCTTCCATTGCAATCTGAGCGGAACACGGCAGGCCTTCATGTTCCTCCTGATTTTAAATCATTGAAGTGCAGCTAATCACAAGGTCTGGTCTGGACCGCCTGCTGGTTAAAGCTCTCTGATCAGCTAAGAGGCCACTCTGCAATCTGCTCTGTACACCCCGTACTGGACACTCCAGGTAGGCAGCCAAATGTTACTAGAGCGCTCTCTGGGTCTAAGGTCAAATATCTTCTAAGACCCTGTTGATGGATTCATCCTCAGTCTGCCTGGCTGGCAACCCTCCACAAGTGTATCTCTATCTGTGATTTATATTTGGCAAAGCCACATTTTTTTTTCACCTGGGCTTTTGTAGTTTGATGGATAGCTAACTTCTCCAAAAAGACACTTTCTAGATAAAGATGAATGGAAAGGACTGTCAGACCTCCTAACCAAGCCCCTGAGTCTGAGCCCATCCCCTCAACAGAGGAGTGCTCCGAAGTGGAGAGACTGCAAACTTTCATGATTAGCGTAAATTAGCACAAGTTATACACGCACTATGGTGCAACGCATCGGATTATTCTTTTTTCAATGTGTCAATGTTTGTACATGTCCGTATTCAAATTAACCGTAAATGGAGAGAAATTGATGTCATGGTGTTTTTTTGAAGTTCACCATGATTCTGTGCTGAATTTCTACACGTCTTTGTTGTAAATATTTAGTGTTCTCTACAATCTCAGGTGGAGCAGTCTAAGGTGCTGGTAAAGGAAGGAGGAGTTCAACTTCTTCTCACCATCGTTGACACGCCAGGGTTCGGGGACGCTGTCGACAACAGTAACTGGTACGTCTGACTGGCCGGTTGACTAGGTGGCTGGCTGACCGACTGACTGACTAGCCTGCCCTATATCTCTATATCTGAATGTGTATATTCTACATTAAATGTAGACACTGTTACCTAACATTGAGTAATGTCTGTGCTCTGCTCTCCTATAAAGCTGGCAGCCAGTCATCGATCACATTGACAGTAAGTTTGAGGATTACCTCAACTCAGAGTCCCGGGTCAACAGAAGGCAGATGCCTGACAACAGAGTGCACTGCTGCCTCTACTTCATTGCCCCCTCTGGACACGGGTAGGTACTGCAGCTGGAATGGTGCCATTCTTGAAACACTGCTGGAGTTTAAATTTAGTCATGCCGCTTCTCAAACTGTGAATAATTCTGCCACACGGGTGAAGAAAACAGTATTTTCCCTCTCTCATTTGAGATTGAACATGATCTTGAGGCTCTTGACTGTTCCCTAACAGGGCAGACTAGACGGGGTATTAGTCACAGGGGAAGAAAAGAGGTGTACAACTAGCCTGAGACTGTTTACATGTTGTTAGTTGGTCATCCACCCTCCTGCCCCTGGTGTGGAGTCAAGCTGTCAGTCTTCATTTAGGCCTAGCCCCACCCTCGACCCCACGCTTAACCCCTACTGGGGCTGCTGAGAGGCACACTGGGACAACATTTACGTAATCTGTCCTCTCCTGGGTTCACTTTGTTGGAGGCTGTTTATCCTATGTATCTTGGCTCCAGTCTGTGCTCTGCTCCACACACAGCTGTCCCTGCTGTTACATCCCCACTGTGGGCTGCTCTGTGCTCCCCATAAACAAAGGGTCATTTGACAGGCCAGCGCTCTCTCCATTTGGATGCCAGTGCTCCTCACTGTCTTGGCCCAAGGTGTCTGTATCTCTGACCAAGTCCTTGTTCTGTTCTGGTCTCTATCGTGCCTGGCTGGCTGGCATCAGTCTGTGGTCAACCAAGAGGACTAGCACCGTATGGCTCCATTCATAGTTAAAATCTGTCTCTTCCTCTGTGTCCCCACGGGACTCACAGCACATTACCAGCACAGCTGAACCCAGGGCAGAGAGCAAAGTGTGTGTGTGTGTGTGTAGGCCTAGTGTGTGTGTGCACAAACTGATCTTTCAAAATGGAGACTGAAACACAATCATTCCTCAAAGTGTGATGATTAATTCTGCTCTTTTGATCTAACTCTCTAAACATAACGTTTAATCTAGCCACAGCCAAGCCAGAGCAGAGACTTGTACATGTCGGCATGCAGTTTTAGCTCTTGTCTGCGTTCCAGGATTCAACATGGTTTAGATATCTTAGAATCTCCTTTCACAAACAGACTGGAATCTTTAACTCTGTATGAATTGTTTTCAGACAGAAGAGTCCTGTGCTGCTCAGTAGATTTACAGTGTGTTGTGGGCCGGCCAGATGTGCAGTTTCAGCAGCAATGCTGCCATGGAGAGGGAGATTCATTCTGGACCGGAAATTATGTTTTTTTAGTCCCGAGGTCGGCCAAGCTGTGAAATCTGAGTTTTTCTACCCTCTCTCTTTCCCTCCCTCCATCCCTCCGGTGTAGCGCCAACAAGCTTAACCTGGTCCCTTATGCACCCTGTTAAATTAAAGGAACTTGTTGAAACTCAAAACCGCTTTCTCCCACCTCTCCAGATTGAAGCCTCTTGATATAGAGTTCATGAAGCGGTTACATGAAAAAGTGAACATCATCCCCCTCATCGCCAAAGCGGACACAATGACTCCTGAGGAGTGCCAACAGTTCAAGAAGCAGGTGTGTGTCGGCTCTGTATACGTACCGGGGCCTGTGTGTTTATGTTTTGTTTAAAAAACACATCTTTCTCTGAATTCAGATGTAGACAGTTTGTGTGTGATTAGTAGTGTATGCAAGCTATTCCTGTGGGAGAGAACACATGCAATAAATAAGTGATGCACAGTTGTTGCATGTGACTGAACGAGTGTGTGTACGTGCTGAGCACAGTTCCTTCATCCTGTGTATTGACTGACCCTTCAGCCTGAGTGAGTATTGCTGTTTGTGACTCGTTGGCCTAGATGGATACTCAACCAGAGGGGAGCAGGACTCACATTAACTCTCTCTCTCTCTCCCTCTCTCTTTATAGATCATGCGAGAAATCACAGAACACAAAATTAAGATCTATGAGTTCCCAGAGACGACCGATGAGGAGGAGAACAAGATGGTCAAGAAGATCAAGGTTTGGATTCTCCCAGTGCCCCCCCCACCACACACACACACACACACACACACACACACACACACACACACACAGCTTTTATTCTCCATGCCAAAGATGGAATTGAATAGGACAAAAAACTTGACATAACAAACATGAACACACATCACTATCTTTATCCCAATCATGAAATGTAGTGTTTATAGCTCTGCTGAAGGCATAACATAAATCTAACACTAGTGTTTCATCTAACACTAAAATCCACTAGAAGTGTTTTGGCTGAACTGGCCCCACCAGCCCCAGTATTGATAAGAGAAGCGACTGAGTGGTTAGTTGGCTACCGTAGACACTGAGTGGTTAGTTGGCTACCGTAGACACTGAGTGGTTAGTTGGCTACCGTAGACACTGAGTGGTTAGTTGGCTACCGTAGACACTGAGTGGTTAGTTGGCTACCGTAGACACTGAGTGGTTAGTTGGTTACCGTAGACACTGAGTGGTTAGTTGGTTACCGTAGACACTGAGTGGTTAGTTGGCTACCGTAGAGCCATACAGGCAGAATTAGTATTGAGTATTGATTAGGTCACACAATCAAATGTCCTCTACTGCTCCAGCACACTCTGCACTTATTGTCACACACACAGGAGCGAACAATCAAACACACACACACACTAAAGGTACACACAGAAACACACACAAACAACTGTTCTCAACTGTCACTGCCATTAGAGCTGCTGTGTTGTCAATGCACTACTTTATCTGCAGTCAATTTTCAATCCAATTGAATAAAAAGGAGACAGCAAAGTTGACACAAAAATGTACGTCTGCAGACTGTGTATGTGCATAGCCTTGTCTAACAGGTTATTTTAATGAGTTGTTGGTCTGCTGTGTAACGTTTGTCCCTCCCCCTGCAGGATCGCTTGCCCCTGGCTGTTGTTGGTAGCAACACCATCATCGTGGTCAACGAGAAGCGGGTGCGAGGGAGGCAGTACCCCTGGGGAGTGGCGGAAGGTGAGGGGTCAGAGGTCACAGTCAGATAATGGCCTAGATACACACACACATAACAGCCTCTGGGTGTTATTCGATATTAGCACCAAGGTAGTCCCACACATCTATGGGTTTAACTTTGAAAGGTTTATTTGTGGAAGTAATACAATCTATCTCACCCTACTATGGGGTCAATACATTATCCGGGCAACTGCACTCTGCCTATAGTTAGTGTGTGTCTCTCTTTGTGTGTCTCTATTTGTGTGTGTGTGTTGGGGGAAGTGCATCTGCAGGTCATGTTTGACTTAGAATGACCGTTCTGCTTTTACCTTAGGGCCCTCTGTGTCTCAATGCAAATGCTCACATTTCTAGTCCCATCTACATTTCAGGTTTCGGCTAAAAAAGGGTATTAAAATGTAACACTATTCAACACTATTCCTATACTAAACAGTATACTACTAGAACCAGGGTAAGTTCAGCAGCCTCCTGCCCAGCAGTTGACATTTAGAGTTATGTTGTGTTATCAATGTTCACTTGCTATGTTATTGCTGGCCCTGTGTGTTCCTGTGTGACCAGTTACGTCAGTCTGCTAAATACTCATATCTACTGGTGACATAATGACCATGGAATGTTCTAAACACACAAATAGAGTAGTACTGAGGTCATATTGCGTACTACGAAAATGACATTTTTTATGTCTTAACAAACAAAAATCATTGAGATTATATGACCGTTGCTGTGTTACAAGTTTGACTTTCACTCAATATAGAACAGGCCCTTTAGATAGAGGGGTGTGTTTTGAGGAGAGTCCTGTATGTAGCAGACAGATGTGTTCTACTCAACAGGATATGTGTGTTCAGTTCTCTTTGATGCTAGACAGACAGACAGACCGACAGGAAGCTGCTTTAGCACTCATAAAAAAAAAAAAAAATGCACTACCTCTAAAACCCTCCCACTTAACGCATCCGACTAAGGAATATGTGCACGCAGGAATGCAGCAGCTCACCGAGAGAGATGAATTGAGAGCCCCGATTTGAAAGAGGACTGTTTCACCATTTAACGCAAGTCTCCTGTTCGACTCTCTGCATCTCGTCATTTTAAACTCAAACTGACTTGATGGGTACAAATTGGACGTGCATGTCGTTTTTCTTCTTGAATACAACCGCATGTTATGAACGGTTGTAAATTAGTCTGGACTGTACAGCACTGGTCTTAGTAGAGTAGACGTGTAATGAATTTTAGCTATTTCTTCTGAACTTTAACCTCATGACCCCAGCAGTCATCGGCCCAGAGCTCAGGTCACGTACAACAAAAAAAAACACACACACGAGAATACACTCTAACCCCAGAACTCCGGTCTTTTCCCCTCTCTGCTCCCAACTGTTTTCTACTGCTGCATGAGTAGATGGTCAAATCAGTTCTACCCTAAACTCTACCATTCAGATACAGCTCTTTTATTTATTTATATGACCAGATTACGAGTCAAGGTCTTTGGTCTGTAGTTTGTGTGTGTGAGGCTTTAATTCTGTATAAGATAGTAGAGTTGTGTTCTCTCGACTGGATGAATTGTGCAGTTACTACTACAGTACCTCTGTGGCAGTTGCATGTTACCCGCCCATGGGGAGTGAGTTTTGGAATACCAAAAATGTTTCTGGCACCATGTAAGTGTATAAATAGGGAGAGTGCAAGGCCACACTTCAGCTATGTGATCCACTCTACACACTGCAGTCAGGCAGAAACCTCAGGGGAACTAGTATATGTGGTGTCTGGCACCACCCTGTGGCTGCTGACAGTATTACACCCAGGCACTCCTCCCTGTCTACTCCATGCTGCTCTCTAGGGGAAGATCTTAATTGCATACTCCTCGCATCCTCTCTCCTCGTCTCCTTCTCAAAACCCATTGGATGAGAAAGCCAGAGGTCCCTCCCCTCTGACCTTCTCATCCGATGTGTTACGAGGAGAGCGGACATGAGGAGTATGCAATTGAGGTCTTCCCTTGAGCTGTGACTAGCTCTCGATCTCCTCTCTCGCTCTCTCCCTCCCTCCTGTGACTGCCACACACCCTTGTGGTGACTGACTACTCTAACTCTTCCTCCTCTCTCGCTCTCTCTCGCAAGTGGAGAATGGAGAGCACTGTGACTTCACCATCCTGAGGAACATGCTCATCAGGTACTGTTATAACACACTCTGCATTATGGTCATGCTCCACTGAGTGGCCTGTTTTACACTCTGCATGAGCAGCAGCAGATGGCAGAGACATTATGGTGCCAGTTCTCAGTGCGATATCGTTCCTCACTGCTCTCTCTGACTGTTTACATTTTTAAAGTATTTTTAGTGTCACTTTTTTTTTTTTTTACTCTAAAGTTTATTGCTGTGGTTAATTTTTGTTTAAATAAAGTTGTATTTGAGTGGTTCTGTTCGGTCTTCTTGTTCCAGAACCTACATGCAGTTTAAATAACGTTTTTTAATTTGATTTGATCCAGAACCCACATGCAGGACCTGAAGGACGTGACCAACAACGTCCACTATGAGAACTACCGCAGCAGGAAGCTAGCAGCCGTCACATACAACGGAGTGGACAACAACAAGAACAAGGGACCAATGACCAAGTGAGTACTAATCAACAGTCCACCAAAGGTTTTTATAAGTGGTTCTGTTTCCCATTTCTCTCCATTCCAGGTCTTCTGGATCAGCGTGGATGAAGGGAAGGTGACGAGGCCCTGCACTAACGCAATCCTCTCCCCTGATCACAGGGACTAACAGTCACCCACACATAGCCCACGATCTAATAACCCTGAACCACTGCTAATTCACAGCCAAGCACAGAAAACCTCACTAAAATAATGCACCGTAATGTCACAGTAACCACCAGCATTTGTTCTCATTATCTAGCTACTAGCTCTCTAACACATGGTCATCATAATATCAGCATGCTAAGTGTGTATGTTTCTGTTTTTTAGATTTGACACAAATGAAGGCATGTAAGTGTCATTTCAGTTCTTCAAGAACCTCTTAAGTTGGCTCCGTTTCTACTCTCTCTCCTCTCTGTTTTCCCCTCTGCCTCGTACAGATATCAGTGTTGTATACAGATGCTGCTCTTTATTTTAAACTAGAGGCCCCTACCAGGTCACGATATGGATGATATAATTCTACGGCACTAGAAAACTGCCCAGAAGTCTTCATTAAATACTTGTTGGTAGAATAGTCTCCAATAGTCTTCCAGGAAAATCCTATTTGTCCTATGATTAGGCTCTTGCTTTTTTTTCGTGAGCTTCACTCAGCATCCACACCAGTAGAGCTTTTTGGCAACTTGGTGTTCACTAACTCAGCGACGCAATGGCTTGGCTTTACTAACAGACAGATAGCTATTGTCCTCTGTCACTGAATCATTGGGTCTTCCACATCCAAGGCCTTCCTCTCCCCTGCTCCTCCTCATCCTCCTCCAGGCATAAGTCTATGCAACAGAGATGGTGACAGGAATTTCCACCCTGGCCCAAAGTCTGAGTTTGACTACTCTGGGCTAGGGCTGGGGTGCAAGGCTTTAGCCTGATGGATGTTGTGTGTACGTGCCTCAACCCTGCAGGAGTCCCCTGGCCCAGATGGAGGAGGAGCGGAGGGAGCATGTGGCCAAGATGAAGAAGATGGAGATGGAAATGGAACAGGTGTTTGAGATGAAGGTCAAGGAGAAGATCCAGAAGCTCAAAGACTCTGAGCAAGAGGTACTGGAACCTAACAGAACACCTTCAGACCACTTAAATCACTAAAACACACTCACTCACCCCATGTTTATTTTTTCATGGAGCAATCTCACTTAAAAAAGACACCAGTTTGAATGGTTACATTTGTATGTTTTTATTAGAATCCTACATCTAACACGCACACAGACACACTAGATTTCAGCGATGCAAATGGTGCAAATTGTCCTGTCTGCAGCTCCAGCGGCGCCACGAGCAGATGAAGAAGAACCTGGAGGCCCAGCACAAGGAGCTGGAGGAGAAGAGACGCCAGCTGGAGGACGAGAAGAACCACTGGGAGGCGCAGCAGAGGGTGCTGGAGCAACATAAACTAGACTCCTCCAGGTACAACACACTACTACAACTCACATGAAAAAGACGGCCAACACATACATTTCTATAGAACTATATTACATGGAGTCAACCGTAAACAATTATTCAAACTATTTTTGCGGTGTCATATAATACAGTATGTATTTTTCGATGCCTCACATCCTGTACCATCAAAGAATATGTAGGAATATTACTTATTGTCAATTTTTTTGAGACAGACGTGTCTCAATGGTTGGGAAAAGGCACAGCACAAAACACACACTCCCTTTGAGACAATACACACCTGTTGAAAATGGCACAGGGTGCAGCCAAAGTGCTGTTTGGAGATCACTCACATACACACTGCAGCAAATACTGCATACACAGCTCATTTATAAAGAGCTCTGCCTCGTAATCGACATAGTGATCATCTGTCTCTCTTCCCGCTCTCTTTTCTCCAACTCTCTTCTCTCTCTCTCACGCTCCTACAGGACCTTGGAAAAGAACAAAAAGAAGAAGATATTTTAAAAGTAATTCAGTAGATCCACCGTGTAACAATGTACTAGTTGCCAATTTACCAACCTGGACCGTCAGTTTGTCTGTCGACCAAAAACCTGTTACTGTGTGTGTGTGAAGGAGCAGCATGGTCTGTCTGGGGGAAGTGGGTTCTAACTGGGGGCCAGGGTGAGGGTCCTAGATTAAGACTCACTGTCACAGACGGGCTCAGTCCTGGAACATACTCCATCACTATACTGTCTCCTTTTTTTTTACCTTCATGTTCTCTCGCTCTCCTCCCCAAAGACCTTTCTTATTCTTCCTGAAATGGGCACGTAAGACAGTTGTACAATCATGTTTTTTGGTTCACAGTTCTCAAGCACACATAGTCACACACACAGTCTCACACACACAAACAAAACCCACAGGTATGAGCTGTTTCATGATTTCAGAGAAGGTTTTCTTTTCTTTTTAAAACGCAGAATGCCACAAGACTGTTCTTGCTTTATTTTCCTCTTTCTAGTTAGATGACCTTGGAGACTGCACTACTTTCTTGTAGTGTTCTATTTAATGCCAAATGACCAAACTGCGGAGTAGGAAGCTACAAACCAAGCTACACACCTCAGGCGTTTTGTTTTTATAACGACTTTTGTTTTTTAGTTATTTAGTCATCGTTGTTTTTGTTTTTTTGGCCCTCATCCAAAAATGTTATGCTCTTCCATTTCTTGTCATTGAAATTATCTAGCCATGGACCGCAGTGTATAACTTCAGTCATGTTAGAATGTTTCATTGATGATTATTTTGTCTGTTTTTTGGGGGGGTTCTCTTATATTGGCCCTGCTACAGTAATTGTTTGTTAATTTTTCATTCCATGTTTGTTTGTAGGCATTTCTCCATTCTGTTTTAGAAGATGGTGGGGAGGAAAGCTTGGTTGTTGACTCAATCCGTTAACATAACCTATTGTTGTTTACTTACAATGTCCAATGACTGTAAATAAACAGGTCTGCATTGACTGTAATAAACAACTATGGGGTTCCCTTCCCTTACATCACATTTAACTCTGTTCATGTAATGTATCTCTGTATTTTTTTATTTGTCTTTTGTTTTGTTTTTATTGTAAAGTCTACTAATAAACGTGTGATGATACAACCCCAGGTGGTTTTTATTGAAATAAGGGGAATCAAATAAGCTTTTTGTTGATGGAAGTGAATTAGTGTGGTATAATGCGGCTTTGCTCGCCTTTTGAGTCCAGTTACAAGTCAAAAGATGTCCTCTGCGGTTTATGTCCTCCACACCAAGATGCGTGCTATATTTCACCAGCAGGGGGCAGTGAATACCTACTGACTCCGCCATATCCCATACAACAGGGATCATCAACTAGATTCAGCTGCGGGCTGATTTTCTTTCGTTTTCTTGAGCAGTTATTTGGGGGTCCGGAACATAATTACAAATCATTTGTAGATTGCAAATTGACCGCAAGAAGCCCAAACAGATATTTGACATTATTACAAACCTTTCTTACATTTGTATTTGATCACGTACAGTACATTCGGAAAGAATTCACATCTTGACTTTTTCCACATTTTGTTACGTTAAATCATTATTCTAAAATGTATTAAGCCCCCCCTATCAATCTACACACACTACCCCATAATGACAAAGCGAAAACCAGGTTTTTAGAGATGTTTGCACATAAAAAAAGATACCTTATTTACTTAATTATTCAAACATTTCTAAAATACTTTTTGCTTTGTCATTATGGGGTATTGTGTGTAGATTGAGGAGGGGGGAAAACAATTTAATCCATTTTAGAATAAGGCTGTAATGTAACAAAATGTGGAAAAAGTCAAGGGGTCTGAATACTTTCCGAATGCACTGTATGTCTATTATGAGTGGGAATACTTTAACAGAATTCCAAAATGTAAAATCACTTGAAGCTGAATTCCTGGTGTTTTTAGTCTTATGTCCAATGATGAGAGATATATTTATTATTAATAATAATTGGGCTCATAACTTGGGGGGCCAAATAGAACCACCGGGCCGCCAGTTGGGGAACCCTGCCATGCTGTCATAGGCCATATCTCGGGAATTTCCAGTCTTATCACACACTTTCTCTCTGTGCCCCTTGAACATTCTGCTCTTTAGACCTGATCATCTCGTCATGGTGTACTCCAAACCTGAATCCTCCTGAATAGAGAAATGCACTCAGAGTTCATTGGGGGAGATGGCTGATTATCTTTGATGCCTTTAACCCACTTAAACCATCCCGTTGGGATAGATGGTTTTGAGACAATATAATGAATTATTGGAAAAGTTTGACCTAAAACGGAACGAGACAATGGTGATCTAGGAATTAGCTGATCGTAATAGTTAAGCAGTAAAAGCCTGCCAATTGATATTGGGTCCATTGTGGACCGACACCCTTTGACACAGAAAGCTGTGTTGGCGTTGGTCCTTGGTGTCTGGTCTGTTGACCACATCATCCTAGCCAGTCAGACTGGACAAGGGTCAAGGTTCATGTCTTGCTCGCCCTGTGCTCAGTCGGCACCCGTGGAGCCGTGCGGTCCAGAATGAACGTCTCTACTAACCAGGTTTTATTCATGGCCATTGCACTGAGGGTAATGGCCAAATACTCCACTCAAAGTAATTGGATAAAAGTTCAGTTGTGCATAGTGCATTTTGATCACATACTGTATTGACATGCTAGGGAGCAATGAAGAAACTGAAAAAGAAATATTCCTCATACTTTCTATCATCTATGTATTGTCACCTTGAGGCCTACTTCAGTTGTGAGCTTTCTCTAGACACCGTATGCATCTATCAGTCCACTTAGTATAAGGCTCCCTGACTATTTACAGTGCCCTATTCAGCTCTATGCCTCAGTGGAGTGGTTACTAACGCTAAATCACTCATCAGCAGTCTCTTGCTGCCCGGTCCATGGGAAACTGGATCCAATCTTTGTTACATAGCACTACGACGCTCCGATTTATTTTCGCTGTCCACACCGCTTGGTGCCTTTTCTCTAGTCTATCACCCCTGAGACCTCCTTCCTGCCAAAAACCGTTCCATAGTTGGTGAAACACAGGGAAGCTCTTGCTAAATGCAGTCCCCTGACTTGGCTTGCACAGTCTGTTCTGCTTAATTGCTCATTTTGACAATGACCTTTTGGTTTTTGGAGCTCTGTGTGTGTGTGTGTGTGTGTGTGGTGAGCTGGAGTGGGTCCAAGCAGACAGACAACGGAGGGAGAAGATTTGCCACTGCGGCTGCCAACATGTTTTAGCTTTTTTCTCTGTGTGAACTCTGTTGTCCCATGGCTTGGACAAGGCAACACACGCAAACACACACACTCGCTATTCCACACACACAGTACACACACATTTTTACATATGACATTTTAGTCATTTAGCAGACGCTCTTATACAGAGCGACTTACAGTTAGTGCATTCATCTTAAAATAGCAACCACCTATCTCAGTCGTAGTAAGTAATATAAACACAACATGTAAAGTGTTGGTCCCATGTTTCATGAGCTGAAATAAAATAGTTTATTCTACAATGTAGAAAATTGTAAAAATTAAGAAAAACCCTTGAATGAATTGGTGTGTCCAAACTTTTGACTGGTACTGTATATACAGCTGTGGAAGAAATTAAGAGACCACTGCACATTTTTCTTAAATCAGCATCTCTACATGTATGACAGCCATTCCATTCCAGTGTCTGTTGAATTCCAACACAGGCACACCTCATTCTACTGAATTAGCTACTGATTAGGTGATCACCTGAACCAAATCTTATTTAACGAGGAAAAGTATAAAATCCACTGCTGTGGTCATCACTATCCTCTTGCAATAGGATCAGCTGGATGGCAAAAACAGTGCTAATAGTACCTCAAAAGTAATATTAATCAAAAAAATTACTATTGACCATGCCAAAAGATTTTAAAAGGAAAGTTATGAGTGAGGAAAAGAAGGGTTCAATTCTGGCTTTATTGGCAGAGGGATACAGTGAGCGTCAGGTTGCTTCCATCCTTAAAATTTCAATGACGGCGGTTCATAAGAACAAGTTCAAGCGGCAGACATTGGGGACAACAAAGCTACAGATCGGCAGAGGGCGAAAACGAGTCCGCCAACTCATTCGAATGTCACTCAACAACCGTAGGATGACATCAAGTGACCTACAAAAAGAATGGCAAACGGCAGCTGGGGTGAAGTGCACGGCGAGGATGGTTTGAAACAGGCTCCTAGGGGCAGGGCTGAAGTTGTGCAAAGCTAGAAAAAAGCCCTTCATCAATGAGAAGCAAAGAAGAGCCAGGCTGAGGTTTGCAAAAGACCATAAGGATTGGACCGTAGAGGACTGGAGTAAGGTCATCTTCTCTGATGAGTCCAATTTTCAGCTTTGCCCAACACCTGGTCGTCTAATGGTTAGACGGAGACCTGGAGAGGCCTACAAGCCACAGTGTCTCGCACCCTACTGTGAAATTTGGTGGAGGATCGGTGATGATCTGGGGGTGCTTCAGCAAGGTTGGAATCGGGCAGATTTGTCTTTGTGAAGGAAGCATGAAATAAGG